TCTTAATGATTATCTTTTCTTTTTTTAAGACTGCAATACCCACATAAGGTCAAATAATTCCTTGAAATATTTAAAAATAATAGTGACAACTACATATATCTGATACCCACCTACTGCCATGGAGTCAATTCTGACTCATAGAGACCCCCATTGGGTTTCCAAGGTGGTAAATATTTACAGAAGTAGATTGCTCCATCTTCCTTCTGTGGAGCAGCTGGTGGGTTTGAACTGCCAACCTTCTGGTTAGCAGTCAAATACCTTAGGCACTGTACCACAAGAACTTATATATGATACAGTGAAGCCCATTTACAAAATCCCCTTCCCTTCCTTGTTTTTTCTTTTTAATCCAAAAATGGTAAATAAAGCAATAAAATTACTAAAAAGGAACCAAGCAAAGGAACTGACTTATCATATCTTCTAAACTCCACCAAGCACCTTCTAGACATAATGGTGCAAAAGATGATTCAATTAAATTCAGATAATTCTCATATTTTCAATTTATAGAGAAACAGACTGGGGTTGAAATGAAGGCCTGGGAAAATACGGTAAAGAATCATAGGATACACAAACCAGGTTAAATATTTCTGTAAGAAATTTGGGGTTCCCTCACCACTCTGAAAAAATCATACCGTTATATTCTATAGAACTCAGTGCAAATTTCAGTTTTGAAAGATTAAAAACACAAACCCTGATATTGTAAGACATTCATAAAATGAGTAAGGGAAAAAATTAGGAATACAACAGCACTATTATAGAACTAATTAATGCATTAGAAATAGGAACAGAATAAAACAAAAGTGAGGTTAAATTCATCCTTTGCTCCTGTCAGCAATCTGCATCTATTATTGCTAGAATTGTCTGGAATGGTACTTATCTAATGTTCAGGGTAATTATTTTCAGGTAGTTATATATTTTTTTCTTTCTTTCAACTTTTCCACAATACTTTAATTTATATATGTTTTTCTTGAACCAAGACATTTTTCTTAAAAAACTATGGTGGGAAAATTTGTTAAGCATTTGCTGGTGATAAAAAGATGAATATATTACTCACCCTGTCCTAAAGAATCTATACCCAAAACTTTAACTTTTTTTTTTTTAATTAAAACTAAATAAAAATATCCCTCATATTCTCCTTCTAGACCTTCCTTATGGATGTGCAAAAAGAATTTTAAAATAAGTTATTTTTTCATGGATTCAAAATATATACTTACATATATTTGTTGAAGTTAAGATCTGATGATGTATTTCCCTTATTTTATGTCTGTCAAATCAGAAACTGAACAGGGTCTGAGATTTTAACCTACTTTTAAGCAAACAAGTTAGCTGGATACAGTTTTATAGATATTGACAGAAGACATTAGCATCCTGGATCACAGAAAAAAAGACAATTAATTGGTCACAACAATAGCCGTAGCCAGAGTAATGGTGGAACACTGGTTTTTCAAACTGCACCTCCCTCAAAAAGATGGAATTAAGGCAAGGTGTTGCCACATAGTGGGATCATTAAAGGAGAGGAATCTTGTTATATAGAAGCCCACATAACAACAACAACAACAACAGATCTGATACATGGGTTGCTGGCAAACCTGTGCATCCTCCACTCAGGAAAGACACATTATCTTTATTCCTCTGGAGTTTCATGCAGATCTGCTCCAGGGAAAGCAATGTCTCTAACTTTACTTTCTGGAATATAAATAAATCTGCTCTAAGAAGACATATTTTTTCTCCCATAATCTGCCTGCTATACAAACATCCTTAAAAGACAGTCCAGAGCAAATTACCTGTTAATGCCTTTGAAAATATATAGATATGTATTTTCCTGCAATATCTAGACATGATTACTTAAACAAACTGAATGTTATAAAACAGAGATCTGATTTTTTTCTCTAGTTTAGTATCAATACATGGCTAATAGGTATGGATGTTTCATGTTTGTCTGTTTCTTTTCAATAATGTTCTCTTTGAATGTTGAGTTCAATAATGGATTTTAAACTGATAATTCTTAAAAATTTATGAGCCAATTAATTTCTGTAGAAAAACTAAGAGCTCAAAATCTTTACTTCTTGCCATCATTCTCAAATTTTTCATCAAAATTATATAAAAGTAAACTACAGAATAAATAATACCCTTAGAGTTGCAGAATTTAATCTTTTACTTAGGATATATTGAATTCTAGATTTATAAAGTATTCAACATGTAATGCCCTAGGTTTCCCAGCACTCAGTGAAATGGGGGATCCTGTGGAGTTATTATAGCAAAGATAGCATTATAGCAGTTACTCCATTTAATAATTCTTAAATTTTTGTTTACATTGGTATAATTAAAAAATAGAAGTTAATTAGAGTATTAAACTATCCAGAATGAAAAAATATATATTTATTTATGTTGTGGTTTGGGTGGACATTTACAGAGCAAACTGGTTTTCTGTTCATACACATTTTGTTTTATGACATTCATTGCAGTCCCCAAAATGTAACAGCCCTCTTCCCACTGCCACTCTGTGTTTTCTGTTTTCCTCCATCTTTCTTTCCTATCCCATCTTGCCATTTGAGCTTTATTCCTAGGCAGATGCTGTCCTTTTGATCTCATATATTGATTGCTCTAATAAGTACATACCTTCTTGGTATCATTGTTCACTTTATACGCCTGTCTATCGTTTGGCAGAAAGTTGAGCCATGGTGGTGAGTTCAGTTCCCAGCTTGATGGGTGTCCAAGGGCTATAGTCTCAGGGGTTCCATCAGTCTCAGACCAGTAAGCCTGGTCTTTTCTATGATATTGAGTTGTTGTTGTTTTTCATTTTTCTCCCATTCTTATCTAGGACCTTGTACTGTGATCCCTTTCAAAGTGGTCAGCTGTGGTAGCTGGGTACCATCTAGTTCTTCTGGTCTCAGGGTCTTGGAGTCTGGGGTTTATGTGGGTTATTAGTCTTTTGAACTAGATGTTTCCTTGAGTCTTTTATTTTCTTTACTATTCTTTGCTCCAGATGGGGTGGAATTAAAACTATTGGAAGTTTATGCAATATATGTACTTTTCTTTCTGAATTGACTCTAATACTATTTATAGCAATAATCTACTTTGGAGTATCTATTTCATGTCTTCTTTTTTCTTGTTACTATTGTCTCAGTTCAAGTCTTCTTTCTTACTCACTTATACAAGTGGGATAATTCCTTCTTACTTTCTCTGCTTCTCGTTATTCGATGTTATTAAATTTATTCTTTTTAACTATGGTATTTAAAGTGCTTCCAGAATCCTCCAACAATCCCTGTCTGACTTACATTTCTAATTTTATTCCTATACCATTGTTTGCAGTACATTCTTTGTATAGATAAACTAGACTACTTGCTTTATAGAATATGAAATGCCTTTTCCTCCGCAGCCTAGTAAGTTCAGCCTGAATTTGTCTCTTCAGCAGTTTCTACACATACCATTTGTTTTTGTTGTTGTGATATGCCATCGAGTCGGATTCCATTTAGTGACATTGATTACATTCTTCAAGTTGTACAACCGTTCTCACCCTCCTTTTCTGAGTTGTTCCTCCCTCATAGACATAAATTTACTGTCCTCTAATATTCCTAACAAATAATTCAAGTTGCTGTTGTCAATTTGATCCTGATAGATAGTTATTAAAAGAGCATAATGCTCAAGGCACATCTTTTTTTTTTTTTTTCACTAGTTAAGCCAAACTATTGTTTGGTTTTAAGAGGAATTCTGAGGATATTTTTGGTTAAAGGTTTACAGATTATCTCAGGGCAACAGTTTCAAGGTTTCATCCAACCTTCATGGCTCCAGGATATATGGAATCCATGGGACTGTGAAATTCTGTTCTGCATTTTCCACCTTTTGATCAGTATTCTTCTATAAAATCTTTGATCAACATGTTTGGTAACAGTAGCTAAGCATTATCCAGTTCTGTTCTTATAGCAAAGGAAGCAGTTGTTCATAGAGGCAATTGCCAATATATTCCATATCCTTCTATTCCTTACTTTCCTTCTTCCTCTTTTGTTGTAGGAAAATAGAGACCAGATGTTGTGTCTTGGCTGTCCACTTGCAAGCTTTTAAGACCTCTGTTCTATGCAACAAACTAGGAGGTAGAACAGAAACAAAAGACATGTTATTAGGCCAATGAACTGTGATGTCCCGTGAAACTCTGATGTTAAACATAAAAATCAAGAAATCAAATCTCAGGAGGTTTTTGGTTGTTCATAAGCAACCCCAGCAGCTACTGTTTTTCTTTTTTGGTCATTTTTATAAATATATGTATCACACAATTTTTGCCAATTCATGCAACTTACTGACGGTAATTACAATAATCACCTGTGCAACCCTATTCTTAATCACTGCAGTATTTCCATCACTGTAAACCCTCTCTGTTTCCCTCCCTCCTTCCCTGATTTTTTGTTTTGTTTGTTATGTGCCGTCGAGTCGACCCCAACTCATAGCGACCCCTCCTTGGGTTTCCGAGGCAGTATCACTACGGAAGTAGGATTGCCCAACCTTCCTTCCGAGGAGTGGCTGGTGGGTTTGAACCGCCAGCCGTCTGGTTAGCAGGCAAGTGTCTTAGCCACTATGCTACCAGAGATCCCCTGATAGCTACTAATAAACTTTGTTTTCTATACACTTGCCTTTTGTCTTTTTATGTAAGTGAAGTCATACAATACTTGCCCTTTTGTGATTGACTTTTTTCACTGAGCATAATATCCACCAGCTCTATCCATATAGTAGCATATTAAGATTTCATTTCTTCTACTGGATGAGTAGTTTTCCTTTGTATGTGCGTACCACATTTTGTTTATCCATTCATCTATTCATGAGTATTTAGATTATTTCCACCTTTTGACTATTATGAGTAATGATGCAATGAACTTAATTTATTTTCTATATGGCCCCTTGGCTCTTTGTACCTGTCCTACACCAATATGTGCTCCTTCATAATGAAGTTGTTTCTGTTCTTGTCTGGTTATCAAATTTATAAACTTCTTTCCTATTATTTTTCCCCTTAGCATGTAAGTGTCACATCTATGCCACTGTGTTACGCTGGAAGAGATCTTCAGCAAGTCATCTTAGAACAGTGCTACAATTTTGTTTGTGTACATGTAAGTAGTAATTGCAAATGAATGAAAGCACTTAAAGATATGTGTAAATTCTTATTTATTTATTATTGTGTTTTAGATGCAAATTTACAGCGTAGAATTTGTTTTACATTCAATAGTCATGTGCATTTGTTTCACTCCCCAATTACCATCCAAACCCTAACCCACTCTCCTCCTCTCCCTTCCCAGTGACAACCCCCCCACCCCCTGTGCCCTTCTTATTTATGCACTCCTGTCTGTCTAGCTTTTCTTCTGTGTGAATGTTGCCCCTCTGGTGCCCCATGGTCAATCACTCCAAGGGATGTATCTCCATAGAGTAGGTGGGTGTATCAAACTGGGTTAAGTGTTAGCAGTGTAAGTCCTATTACTTAGGGTGAGAGCCACGCCTTGGGAGTGAGTTTTATCCCAGGCCCATAGTCTTGGGGGTCCCACCAGACTCCAGTAATTCTGGTCATTATTATGGTTTTGGATTTTGTTCCATGTTTTTCCTCCCACTCTATATAAGATCTCTAGTTTTGATCTCTTCCCGAGCAGTTGACATTGGTAGCTGGGCATAACCATATTGATACCCTTTAAAACGGTTTAAATAACTAAAAATTAAGCTTTGATAAATATTTTTACTTTTATGTAAAATCTTTTCAATTTTCTTCTTAAGTTTTAAATCTATAAAGAACATCTTCTCACTTCTTTTATTTTGTTGACCATTCAGGTTATGAACTTTGATTTTCAAGGAACCCAGAAGTTACTGAGTATGCTGGAAGAGAGTCATCTTTCCATTTTATATCCTATTGTGGTTGTTTTGGTAAGAGAATGAATGAAGTTTTCTCATTAAATTTATACTTCTTTCCTTTTAACTCATGTGACTATTTAATAATATTTTTCTCAAATTGAGAACATCACCAAACCCTAAAGGAGAAATTCTTCTTTTCTTTTTGTATGCTTGAGCTTAATTAATTAATTAATTTATTTATCTTGCTCATATAACCGCAGACATTTGACTTAAGTGACCATTGGAAAACAAGTCTACCTAACAACCAATTTCATTTCTTTTCCTTCTTTGAAATCACAAATTATACAGTTGTATGGACAATGTGAAAAGAGTTTTAGTTAGCATGTTACAGAATGCCAATAAAACCAGAAGTTAAAAAAAACCTAAGGAAAAAAATTATGAGGGAAGGAAATTTATTCTCTGGTTGTTTCATCTTCTCTGTTCCATGGACAGCAAAGGAGAGTAAGCAACAGATTACAGATAATTACTAGCAATTTGATCCATGAAAATTTTAGATAGATATTTTCTGTGAAAGATTAAAAGTGAGTTTGATGGAAAATTTTCTTGATTGGCATATCAAATCGTATAGTGGAAGGGAATATCAAAAAGCAAAACCTAAAAACCAGATCAGAGAACAAGCCAGTAAAACTAGCTGAAGAGCAGATTGTGTAGTCTGTAGCATTTTGCTGTAGTAAAATGTTCCAAATAATAAATTCTTAAAAGTGTTTAGCAAGTGCCAAGTTTCTAAAGCTCAGTCCTATCCCATAGTTTGGTAGTTTGATTCTTGTTAGGTCAAGTAATTCATACATAATAAGGATAACTAACACTGTAAATAAGTAACTCTAAAGCAGTGCAAGTAGAAATGCATTAACAAGTAAACCAAAAAAACCTAACTCACTTCCATCTAGTTGATTCAACTCGTAGTGACCGCTCCTTGGGGTTCCTAGGAGGAGGTATCACTACAGAAGTAGATTGCCCAATCTTCCTTCCAAGGAGTGGCTGGTGCATTTGAACTGCTAGCCTTCTGGTTAGTAGTCAGAGGCCTTAGACACTATGTTACCAGAGTTCATATTAAGAAGTAAAAAATGCAAATGCAACCACTGCCGTGGAGTCGGAACCACTCATAGCGACCCCACCTTGGGTTTCTGAGGCAGTATCACTATGGAAGTAGATTGCCCAACCTTTAAAGAGATCTTTTGTAGTATATTTGCCCAGTGCAATACAACATCTGATTTCTTGACTGCTGCTTCCATGGATGTTGATTGTGGATCTAAGTAAAATGAAATCTTTAACAGCTTTAATCTTTTCCCCCTTTTCCATGATGTTGCTAATTGGTCCAGTTATACAGATTTTTGTTTTCTTAACATTGAGGTGTAATTCATACTGAAGACTGCAGTTTTTGACCTTCATCTGTAAGTGCTTTGTGTCTTCTTCACTTTGAGCAAGCAATGTTGTGTCATCCACATATTGCAGGTTGTTAATGAGTCTTCCTTCAATCCTAATGCCAAGTTCTTCTTCATATAAATCAGATTTCTTGATTATGTCCGCAGCATACAGATTGAATAAGTATGGTGAAAGATACAAACTTGACACATGCCCCTCCAGATTTTAAACCATGCAGTATCCCATTCTGTTTGAACAATGGCCTGTTGGTCTATGTACAGTTTCCTCAAGAGCACAAGTAAGTGTTCTGGAATTCACATTCTTTGCAATTTATCCATAATTTGTTATGATCCTCACAGTCAAATTTTTTTCATAGTCAATAAAACACAGGGAAATATCTGTCTGATATTCTTTGCTTTCAGCTAAGATCTATCTGATATTGTCAGTGATATTCCTTGTTCCATATCCCTTCTGAATGCAGCTAGAATTTCTGGTAGTTCCCTGTCAATATACTGCTGAAATCGTTTTTGAATTATCTTCAGCAAAATTGTACTTGTGTGTGATATTAATGATATTGTTTGATAATTTCCACATTCTGTTGTATCCCCTCTGTTAGGAATATATACAAACATGGATCTCTTCCAGTCAGTTGGCCAGGTGCTGTCTTCCAAATTTCTTGGCATAAATGAGTAGCAGCCCCCAGTGTTGCATCCATGTTTTTGAAATATTTCAATGGGTATTCCATCAATTCCTGGAGTCTTGTTTTTTGCCATTTCCTTCAGTGTAGCTTGGACTTCTTCCTTCAGTACCATTGGTTCCTGATCATATGCTACCTCCTAAAATAGCTGAATGTTGACTAGTTCTTTTTTTGGTACAGTGATTCTGTATTCCTTCCACCTTCTTTTAATGCTTCCCACAGCTTTCAATATTTTACCCATAGAATCCTTAGATATTGTAACTCAAGGATTGAATTTTTCTTCAGTTCTATCAGCTTGAGAAATGCCAAGCGTGTTCTTCCCTTTTGTTTTTCTAATTCCAGGTCTCTGCACATTTTGTTATAATACTTTATTTGGTGTTCTTGAACTACACTTTGAAATCTTCTGTTCAGCTATTTCATCACTTCTTCCATTCACTTCAGCTACTCTCCATTCAAGAGCAAGTTTCAGAGTTTCTTCTGACACCCATTTTGGTCCTTTCTTCTTTTCCTGTCTTTTTAATGACTTTGTTTTCTTTGTGTATGATATTCTTGATATTATCTCAGAACTCATCTGGTCTTTTGTCATTGGTATTAAATCCGTCTAATCTATTCTTCATATGGTCTCTCAATTCAGTTGAGATGTGATCAAGATCATATTTTGGCTCCCTTGGATTTGTTTTAATAATTTTCTTCAGCTTCAACTTGAACTTGCAAATGAGCACTTGATAGTCTGTTTCACAGTGAGGTCTTGTCTTTGTTTTGACTGATGATATTAATCTTTTCTATCATTTCTTTCTTTCAACAGATGTAGTCAATTTGATTCCTGTGTCTTCCACCTGGTAAGAGTCACATGTATAGCCTCTGTTTGTGTTGCTGAATAAAGATATTTGTATTGAATAAGCCATTTGTTGTGCAAAATTCTATCATGCGATTGCCCATATCATTTCTATCACCAAGGCCTTATTTTCCAATTACTGATTCTTCTTTGTTTTCAGTTTTCATAATCTAGTCACCAGTGATAATCAACATATCTTGATTGCATGTTTGGTCAATTTCAGACAGCAGCAGTTGGTAAAAATCTTCAATTTCTTCATCTTTGGCTTTAATGGTTGATGTATAAATTCGAATAATAGTAGTGTTACCTGTCATCCTTGTAGGTGTATGGATATGCTATCACTGATTGAGTTGTACTTCAGGATAGATCTTGAAATGTCATTTTTGATGATAAATGTAAAGTCATTCCTCTTCAGTTTGTCAGCAAAGTAGATCTTAGGATTTTCTCATTCAAAATGACCAATACCAGTCCATTTGCACTAACTAATGCTAGGATATTGATCTTTATCTGTTCTGTTTCATTTTTGACAAATTTCAATTTTCCTAGATTTATACTTCATACATTCCATGTTCTGATTATTAATGGATCTTTGCATCTTTTTATTTTTTTTTTCCCCATTTTGAGTCATGCCCCATCAGCAAATCAAGGTCCAAAAAGCTTTACTCCATTCATGTCCTTAAAGTCGACTCTACTTTGAGGGGGCAGCTCTTCCCCGGTGGTATTTTGAGTGCCCTTCAGCCTGAGGGGCTATATTGTGGCACTCTATCAGACAGTGTTTCACTGCTGTTCATAAGATTTTAGATGGCCTTTTTTTTTTTTTTTTTCCACCAGAAGAGAATGGCCTTGTCCTTCTTTCCAGTCTTTCTTAGTCTGGATGCTCTGCTGAAACTGTCTACCATGGGTGACCTTGCTGGTATTAGAAATATATATGCCATAGCCTCTAGCCTCATAGCAACACACAAGCCACCACAGTATGACAAACTGACAGACAGGTCAGTTTGAATTGAAATTCCAAATTTGATATTGTTGATATTTCAACAATTTTGAATACAAATTCAAAATTTAGAAATGAATTGAACTTTTCAATTTTATTTGATAAAATACTTTATCACTTTTTCCACAACAAAATTATTTTGCTGGAATTATGTGAATCATCAAAAAGAACATTTTGAGATCTTTCTGGAGTACAGTGCTGTCAGTATAGGGTAATATTCATACACCTCCAAAGAAGACCAGGTAATACAACTAATACTGCTATTGCCAAAAATGAACAAATTGAAAATTTTTACCAGCTTCTGTAGACTGAAATTGATCAAACATGTAATAGAGAAGTATTGATAATTACTTACTGGTGTTTGGAATGTGAAAGCTGGAAACAAGAAGGGTGAGTAGTTGGAAAATATGTCTTTGGTGATACAAGCAAAGCCAGAGATCATGTGATAGAATCTTGCAAAACCAATGAGTTATTCATTGGAAGTACCTTTTTCAGCAACATAGATGACTATACACAAAGACCACACCAGATGGAATACACAAGAATCTAATAGACTACATCTGTGGAAGGAGACAATGGAGATGATCAATGTCATCAATCAAATAAGACAAGGGGCCAATTGTGGAACAGATCATCAACTGCTCATATGCCAGTTCAAGGTGAAGCTGAAGAAAATGAAAACAATTCCATGAGAACCAAAGTACGACCTTGAATACATCCCATCCAAATTTAGAGACTATCTCAAGAAGAATTGTGGGATGACATCAAGGACATCATACATAAAAAAAAGCAAGAGGTTATTAAAAAGACAGGAAAGAAAAAAAAAGAACAAAATAGATGACAGAAGAGATTCTAAGACTTGCTTGTTAGAGTAGCTAAAGCAAATGGAAGAACTGATGAAGTAAAAGAGCTAAACAGAAGATTTCAAAGGGTGGCTCTACAAGAAAAAGTGAGATACTATAATGAAATATACAAAGACCTGAAGTTAGAAAACCAAAAGGGAAGAACATACTGGGCACTTTTCAAACTGAAAGAACTTAAGAAAAAAATTCAAGCCTCAAGGTGTAATATTGAAGAGATCTATAAGCAGTATGGGACCTCTGGTAGCATAGTGTCTAAGGCAC